GCATTGCGCAGGCACCATACATACCATGCGCATGTGCGGAAGCGCCAAAGGCTTAAAGGAACTCGGGTGGGCGGGTGGGCCCTTTGGAGCACCGTACCGGAACGGTACCCGGTGCTCCGGGCAGGCTCTGGTACGCCCGTACTGAGGCGTATTGCCTGCAACCCACCACTCCAACAGGCCCATTAGAAGTTTTGAAACAAACTTCCGGTTTGCCTGTTGGGCCCATTTTTCACCTCCACAGGCTCCGGAGGCTTTCCTGAAGCCTGGGGAGGGAGGAAAATGAGCCCAATGGGCCTACCAGAAATCCAGAGGCCTCAGTGAGGCCTGCGCGCATGCACAGGGGGGGAGCAGGTGGGCTTGTGCGCGCATGCACAGGGGGAGGGCATTGCATTATGGGTGTGGGCACGCAATCGTGCGGTATTGCGTGCATGCCCTTTTGCCACCCGAGCAGAAAAACGTTCGCCATCACTGTTCTAGATAAAGTGCTGAACTAAATTTGCAAAAAACTGAATTTGTGAAAAGCTCTGGAGTTGCAAGGATTTTGAGACATTTCAGCTGAGCTGGAGTTAGTGCATCAACACTTAACTTCTGAAATCAGTTGATAACATTTAAGCCTGTTAAAACAACCCCCGAAACATTTCCACTACAAAAGTTCAGAGAGCTTCACATCGTGCTTCTCAGCAACTCTTTAAAATAGCTGCTTCTATACTTCATAATTATAGTGCGACTCCTAGAAAAAAAAAGTTTGCTTTAATGCAGTAATCCCCAACCTTTCCAGCTTGGCAGCCCTGTCCAGAGCGGGAGTGGGGGGGGGAAGCATGTGAGTGGCAGGTGTACGCGTACTTACAGCACCATTTGTGCAAGCAGCACATGCGTGCACCCTCCACTCATGCAAATGGAGCTTCATGCACGAGCAGAGTATTTGTGCTTACATGCAAAGCTCCACTTGTGTGAGTGGAGGGCATTCACAGGCAAAGCTCCATTTGCACAAATGGACCTTCACACGAAAGCACATGTCACCTCCACTCACGGGAATGGATTTTATCGTGTGAGCACAAGCGCCCCCCTCTCACACAAATGGAGCTTCATACATACGCACTTGCCCATTTCTCCTGAGGCCCAGTTTTGAACAGGCTGCAGTCTGGAAGTGGGCCGCGGTTGGGGACCCTTGCTCTAATGAGTTGCCAACAGGTGCTATGTAAGTCTCCTTCAAATCCAAAAGTCCGCCCAGTTTTGATATATATTTTTTAACGTTCCATTTCTCTTTCATTCTGTGGGATTGGTCCCTGACTTTGGATTGATTAAGCTTCAGACAATACAGGTAAACTTTGACTTATAGCAGTTCATTTAGTGACTGTTCAAAGTAACAACGGTACTGAAAAAAAATGACGTGGCAGTTTTTTGCACTTATGACCACTGCAGCATCCTCCACGATCACATAATCAAAATCCGGATGCTTGGCAACTGGTTCATATTTATGACGGCTGCAGTCTCCCTGGGTCATGCGATCATTTTTGAGACCTTCTGACAAGCAAAGTCAATGGGGAAGCCAGAGTCACTTAACCCCTGTGTTACTAACTTCATAACTGCAGTGATTCCCATTAACCATTGGCTAGAAATGGAGCAGAATTCGCTTAATAAATGTTTCACGTAACAATTTAAATTTTGGGCTCAATTGTGGCCGCTAGTCGAGGACTACTTGTATTGTACAAATATAATTCTACTTCCACAGCTTGCAAACTATTATTTTGTTAAGCCGGCTAATGAAAATAATGCCTGAAATTGATGCAAGAATGGGTTTCCTGGCTTTGTATGTAACCAAGTGCTTTAATCAAGAGCTGAAACTATCGAGTGCAACAAGATCCTTTCTGATTCACAAGCTCTGAAAGAGAAAGTCCTTTTTCTCCCTCCTTTCTTTTTCCATGGAGAAATGGCCATCAATCTATTTGACTCCCTAACTTGGAGCCAATTGACATTAAGGAGCCCTGATCTTAAAATCATAGCATGAAATTGCGTGGAGGAGATAATTTAAAACCAGGCTGCTTCTCCAATCTGTAGCCATGGGCTGCATGCGGTCCTCTGAATCCTTTTCTGCAGCCTGCAGCAGACACCACCTAACAAGAACAAAGCCCTGAGTGCTGCACCAACATGCAAACTTGGTCACCAGAAACATTCAGAGCAACCTCACCACTTTCCACAACTAAGCCAAGCAGACTTCCTGAAGCAGTTTGGACTGATTAGCCAAGCCATGAATCTGGTGCCCCAATTTCTCCATCCGCCCAGCAGTGCTAGCCTTCGTTAACTTCTGCCCATTCTCATACTCTGTGGTGGGCACTGATTTGGAGGCAGGGCTAAAGGCTCTCTGACTGTCTGAATCAGCAGCAGAGAGGATTATTTGACCAGGAAAGATGGTCTCAAATGTGGCTCTGGGGTTGTCTTCTACCAGGGCAAGATCAGGAAAGACAGCAAGTATACAAGCAAGCAAGATATTTCTGCTAGAGGCAGGCAGGTAGGCAGGCAAGGAATGAAAGGAAGGAGAGAGGGAGGGAGGGAGGAAGGGTAGGAAGAAATGCCCTTCTGGGTTCAGTCCCAAGTGGGGAGAAAGACAATGAAAACATGGAGACTGCTTGGAAAGATTGTTTTTAATGGACAGGACCATATGGTGTGAAGTCCTGGAGGAAAAAGAAAAGAGATGCTGAGAGTGCCCTCTCTGGGCTTTTGAATTTGAGCTTGTATTTTGATTTGTTGTCAGACTCCCATGGGCCATGCAGGGGCAACTCTGTAGCAGAAATGGGTTGCTGCCAGTTTGACCCAGACTGGGCAAACCAGTAGTAGCGGTGGAAGGAGGCTCCGCCCACCCACCTGGATGTTTCTATGCATGTGCAGAAGTGGCGGGAGCGCAGTGAGCACACACAGGAGTGCACCCAAACTGGTGGTAAAAAAATTGGCAACCCACCAGTGCTCTATAGGTGCTCTATAGGCTGTCTTAGGCTGTAGGTAGTCCCAGGCTTGGACCTTGCTGGATGCCACATGGTGAGATGGATAGAAGGCTTTGGACAATTCCTACTATGGCTCTGCCTGAAGGAGGAAGGTCTTTGTTATACAGAATAGACTGGCTCAGCTCTTAATGGTCCATTGACAAAGAGGGGGAGGAGCTGAGTTTCTGCTCTCCTTTTAGGAGACATATTCTGCCCTTTTAATATTTCCTAAAATATCTCAATTTTTTAGGAGAGGGATGGGTGCTTACTTCCTACAGAAGGAAGGAAGGAAGGAAGGAAGGAAGGAAGGAAGGAAGGAAGGAAGGAAGGAAGGAAGATTGCGCTTCAGAAAGGGGAGAAGGGGGAGGAAACAAACCTGAGATGAGTTTCCTGGATTAAAACATCGTAGATAAAATCTTGAAAAAATATTACATACCAGCTTAATAATAATGTTAAATATGATTCTTCTTTCTAATGCAAAATCTGCCAGCTAAGTGACCAAAATGAAATAGATCTGTTTATTCAGTTTTTTAGTCAGGTGTTTAAATTGATTAAATGTATGATTCAGTGCCATGATCTTCATTTTCTTAATTTTTGACTCAGTAGAGACTTTTGAATAGATTGACATCCACGGAAAGGTGGTTGCCCTGCAACCCGAGGGTTACCAATTTCTTTTCCCTGTTTGAGTTCAACACAGTTGGAAATAGGATTTCGAAATGAAAATTAGCCAAAGGATCCAGTTTTTTTCTTTTCCCTTCCAGCACTCTTTTTTTTTTACTCAAGATTTCAGTCTCTATGGTTCGTTTAGGTACAAGTCATTGGGGGAATAAAGACATATAATTAATGTTACTTTGAACTTTAATGGCTGTCCCATTAAGGTAGGGATTGTGAGTAATGGTGACTAACTTTGATGTAAGATTGTGGATGTGCAGAGGCTTATCCACAGCATAGTCATTTCAGATTTGTGAGTTTGGTGGAAATATATTCTATTAATGAGTAGGAACTGATGGCACAACATTGCCACACAAAGAAAAACCCCTCCACTAATGAAATGGCAGGGTAGAAAGAAACCCTTTGCTATCTTTCTTGTTTGTTTTGTTTTTGTCAACTGCTTGTGATCTTGTGATTTTAGAGGGTGTGGTAGAAGAAGGGGGGGCACTTGTCCTACATTCAATCACACAGAGACACTTGGGATTCCCAACTTTGAACAGAGGTGTCTTTGGAGGAGATTAGGGAAAGGAATCTGTCATCTTAAATTCTGGAACTCAGTTGTACAAGGTGAGAACTATATCCAAGAGAGCCAGCCATCAATTACCTAAAACAGTACTGTCCTTTAATGATCAGCAAGTTGGTTACATGAAGTCTGCAGACTCTGGGAAACTGGATGGATCACGGTTTTGGTCCAAGAATACTGTAGACTGAATCAAGAGACTGCATGTATCTGCTGTCATTTCGCCCACTGGAAGATGTACAAAAAAGAGGATTCCCGAGCTGTCAAGCTTTTCTCTGGCTGTGGAGGAAGCAGAACATGGAAGATTGTTGAATCTGCTGCAGCTTTGGTGATCTTTTCTTGGAGGGTGGTCCTTGGACACAAATAGCAGAGGGGGAAAAACCCATCTTGCTTCCGTAGCACTGGGAGCTTGGAGGGAAAGATCCAGACAGAGAGAGGGGAAAAATGAATTGGAAAATGAACTTTGAAAGCCACCCTGTGATCTTTCTTTCAGCAATAGAATGCCAATGAAATATTAAGGAACTAGAAGAATTTGTCCTGGGGCACCTTAAAAGCAAAGAGATTTGTTTTCATATCCTTGCTGTCGAGCAAACCTTTCTGTTGCACAAGTAGAGTTGGGTTGGGCTATGTCTCAGTACTTAGCATCCACCCTTTTCCTGTGGGTGGAAACCTTAAAAAAAAACCTACTGGGAAGAAATGAAGAAGAGATTTGGCTACCCGGGCAGTTCTTGCCCATGCAGGTGTGCATAATGAGCAGGAATGCCAGACAGACCTGAGTCACAGGTAACCTCCCCTGCATACATACAACACGCCTAATCACACCTGAGATAAAGAGAAAACTGCTTCTTTCCTCCTTTACTTGCCTAACAGCTATAGGTGCCGCTACTCAGAACTCCTTCATTTACCCTGGAGAGAAAAAAAAACAAGCAAGAGGGAGTTCTTTAAAAAAACATAAAAAACCAGCAACAACAGCAACAAAAAGGTGCAGAGAGTGAAAAGGAGTGAGACAACCCTGGATCAGAAGCAACCAGGAGACCTGAAGAGGTGGGTCAAATTGATGAGCTCTTCTTTCTTTCCTTCCTCCCTCCCTCCCTCCCTCCCTCCCTCCCTTCCTTCCTTCCTTTCTTCCTATTTCAACTTTGTATCTGAAATAAAACTGGAATAGGGAAAAGGGGGAGGAGAGGAAGAGCAAGTGGGAGTCAGGATAAGCCAACCTTACATTTGGAAATGACAATGCAGCAGTGAAACAAGTCTCTCTTGCTCTGTGTCTCTTCCCCCAACACACACACACACATCCCTTGCCACTGGAGGAAGTTCTCGGCTTGATGTGTGGATGGCTGTTGTTTGGATTGTTGCACAGGATCTGGACTTTGAAATGGAGTCAGCATGAATGAGGTTTGTGGCACAAAATCTTTTGTTCTCAGTCCCTGCATTTATTTTTTGATTATTTGTTTATTAATGCTACTTGTTCAAAGAGACAACTAATATTAATCAGAGAGAAAAGGGAAAAGAAGCACAGGGCTCCTTGCACAGGTAAGCAAGCAGGCAAAACGGCTGAGGGAGCCCTGTGTTCTTTTCTGCTTTAAAGTTAGACCGTAAGTTGTATTTCCTCTTCTTTGCACTGTTGGAACTTGGCACAAGTTCTTGATCAGCCAGTTTGATGCAGCAGAACAGAACAGCCCCCTCCTCCCCCGTTGCTCTCTTGCTGGAGACTCCTTTTTATCTGAATTAACCAGGCTATTCATATAATTCCTTTGCACCCACATACCCATGCAGTTTCTCTTTCTCTCTGCGGCCATTCGCAGGGAACATTAGGAAATTACAGGGAAGACGGCTATCAACAATAATGTGTTCTTCTCAAACAGAGGAAGGTGAACTTTTCCTGAGTGAGAACATTGACATTTCCCTCCCACAATATCCCTGAGTTGTTGTTAACAACTTCATAACAGGCAGACATTGGGCAGTAAACTCAATCTTGGCATGGCAGTATAGTGAAGAAGAGTTTACATAACTAATTAGTTTCAACCTGTTGTGCCATTTGTAAATTTGTTAAAAGTGGAGAAGAATGGGAGGGGGAGGGAGGAGTATAGTAACTCTCCTAGCAGTTAGAAGACAGAGATTAGGTATTTTTAATGTTTTATCAAAGTTTAGGGCTCTAAGCATGGATTCACGTAGCATTTTTATTTCTCTTAAGCCCTGTTCTGACTTGATTGTTGTTTGACTGAGAATCACATAATCTGTATAATTGAAAATAATGTACTTGTCCTGATTTCAGATGTTAATGTGTTTAGGAAAGGCACAAGAATGAGGAAACTAGGTAGATTAACAAGGTCCATGAGATTTAAGATAAATTGGATGGATTGTTTGAATGGGAGAAGTAGTTTAAAATAGGTAAAGCAGCAGATCTGGAAGAAGGACAGGTAAAAGTGAGGTTATAGGATGGTGGACAGATATGGTGTTAATCTTCATACAAGGAAGCCACTAAAGGTCAGCTTCAAAACCTTTATAGTCAGTTCTAGAGCTCAAGTATGATATGGGCCCCTGAGAATTAAAAAGTGAAGAACATGTGCATAGTATATTTCTCTTTACCACTAAACTCACTTTCAAGTTAGAGAGACATTTTGGATTTTAGCTGAGGAAGGATTCAGCTAGCTCTAAATATTTGTTCTTGTTTGCAGTATTAGATGTCGATTTTTCTGTAATGAAAAAAAGTATCAATGTGTTGTCTTCAATGCAATTGATTATATCTCTATAAATTGTTGGAAAAACAATAGCCACAGTAATAGGTCACATTTCAAATCTCCAAGAAGTGTTCCTTGCTATATAAAAGTTGTCAAAATGTCATAAATTTGAGTAATTTGGGAAGGAGGGAGTATCCCAGCCACAGAAAGACAAAACTCAACTAGATTACTGACTTCATTACAGTTTAGCAATACAAGACAAATCAATATGATGTTTCTGATAAAGAAAAGAGCAATTTGGTTTTTACCGTGCATAGTTAGGGCATAGCATATTTCCTTTTTACAACAGCCAGATTTAAAATATTATCTGTGAAGTGTCATCTGTGACAACAGAGGAATGCAACAAAGGAAACAAGAGTTGCCCTGTGTCTCTAATTGATACCTGTCTTGTATGCAAGCTTGAGTCTTAGGATTTCCCTCTGTCCATTAAATACTAAATCAAGCTGAAATGAAGTCAAAACAAAATCTGCAAAAAATTGTTTTAGAAAATATGTAATTTTTGGCTTTATTAATGATGAGAATGCTGGTCATGGAAGCCTATTCATTAGCTGGAAGGAAGGAAAATGAGAATAGTCCAATGGAAAGACTGTTTGGGGGAACTGTGCTTTTTATTGCTTTGTAGACAATAGAGATACCTCTATCAGTGTTTCACCTTGTATAGACTAATTTATGTTTGTTTTCAAAATACTCTTCTGTGTGGGATCCTTGGTGCTCTCTGAACTTGGTTGTTGTTGTCTATCAATATTCTTCCACTTATTTTGGCCATGTATGGTACTAGAGTGCCCACTCAAGCCTCAAACTCAACGGAATTTGAAATTGATCAAAAGTGGTTATCTAAGTGAAGTAATATTCTGAAAGAGTGGCAGTGGGAATTTGATGACGGGAGATCTGGAATAGCTCAAAATAATACATTTGGGATCTAAAAATTGTTTGGGGGCATATGGTTTGCATAAAGGAATGGGGGAAGGTAATTTATCACAAGTACATGTATAAGTCTCTCTTCCCTAATATTGACCAATTCATACTATAAAAGCTTCTGGAAGATGCTTATATTTGTAGTCCCTCTGCTAGATTTCTTTTTCAGTGCAGTGACCGGGAAGAGGGCCTTCCCAGTGGCAGCCCCATGCTAGCTTCTGGTTGACAAACTGAGGACAGGCCTATTCACCCAGACTATTAAAGGTTATCTGTCTTTTAGATCACCTATCAGATCACCCATCTTTCCTATGTATTTATCATTTATATATGTATTGTTTATAACCATTGTTGGTTTTCTATTAGTTTTAAGAGTTGGCAATGTTTCTATTTTTATAAATATAATTTGATGTATTGCAATAGCAATAGCAGTAGACTTATATACCGCTTCATAGGCCTTTCAGGCCTCTCTAAGCGGTTTACAGAGAGTCAGCATATTGCCCCCAACAATCTGGGTCCTCATTTTACCCACCTCGGAAGGATGGAAGGCTGAGTCAACCCTGAGCCGGTGAGATTTGAACCGCTGACCTGCTGATCTAGCAGTAGCCTGCAGTGCTGCATTTAACCACTGCGCCACCTTGGCTCTTGATTGATGTGGCTTTCAGTATTAAAACATTCTGTTTTGGTCTTCTCATGGTTGCTAGTAGAGAATTGTATGTTTCATAATCCACTGCCTTGTATGCTTCAGTTACATGCTGTCCAGGGTCATCATCTGATGCAGTAAGGCCATTGTAATTGTAGAATAACATTTATACAGATTCTTGCACAGTGTCTTTTTCTGGAAATAATTTCCTTGGGGATTGATTGATTGATTGATTTTATAAGGCCGTCTGGGCAGCCATCTGGGCAGCATACACATTTCCATTCTTTTGCCAAACAAACAACTGAAGTGTAGCTTACTTATGACCTGTGCTGCCAATGGTTTCATGCAGACTCACTCCACACGTGTTCTGAAATCGTAGCATAGGCATATGCACACTTATAGAAACTCACAATTCCTTTTGTGTTTCCAAGGTTTTATTTTTTTAAGATGGTACAATGCTAGGTTGCATCCTGGGCTTTTGGATCTCTTTGTCTCTGTCCCTGTTTCTGTTTTTCTGTTTTTTTTCTGCAATATTTTTTTGTAACGTCTCTATGTACACCGGAAACCTCTGTTTGTACCTTTCAAGTGGATTATCTCTTCTTTTTCAATTTTCTCTTTTTAGCTGCAAAATCTTCTATAGATCATTATAACTTTTTGTCCTTCTCTCTCTCTCTCTTTCTTTCTTTCTTTCTTTCTTTCTTTCTTTCTTTCTTTCTTTCTTTCTTTCTTTCTTTTCTTGCTCCCTCCCTCTGCTTTACAGTACTCCCTCCTTTGAGGTGACTGTCCTATTGCCCTCTGTTTCAAAAGCTGGTCTTTTCCCTTACGTTTTCCATCTGGCAAAGCTTTTGATGCAAGAGTTGAAATGGCTTCAAATCAGTGATGAAATTCAATTTTTTTTACTACCGATTCTGTGGGCATGGCTTGGTAGGCATGGCAGGCAAATTTTCCATTCCCTCTCACCCCACTCTGGGGTCAGCCAGAGATGGTATTTGCCGGTTCTCCAAACTATTCAAAATTTCCGCTACCGGTTCTCCAGAATCTGTCAGAACCTACTGAATTTCACCCCTGCTTTAAATGCCATAGGTGTGGCACCATCTTCCTGTTCCTTTATTTGTTTGCTCCTCTCAAAGAGAACTTTTGTAGAGGAACATGCTATGATTCTGTGTCTTTCTACATACTGGATAGTGAAGTTGATTGGATTTAAGCAGAAGCTTTAAGAAAGTAACAAAATAGGCAGGCAGGAGGTATCTTGCCCAATGCCTGAAAATAGCCCAACCTTTGGCAAGTTATTTGGTGGATAAATGTTGAACAATTCCCTGTCTTCTTATGAACTTACTTTCATTGTTTGTCCCTAACAGTGACATATGATAGAAGTGAAGCATGCACGAAAATAAAGGAAATGCTTAGGAAATAGTTTAACACTGGAATAAGACAAATGCATGATATCCCCTTGTTTGTTTATGGGTAGACACAACAGGTATGGTGTAGAGTTATTAGAGGTATGATAACTGGGGACATGAAAGTGTATAGATTTTTAGTATGCAGTGCCACCTTCTTGGCTGAGAACCCAAAAGATTTAGAGCAAATGTTAAATGAAAGGATGTGCTCAATTTTGTAATATAGTTCTGAAAATTTATGTAGTAAAGATCAAAGTAGTTGTTTTTGACAGAGACAATTGAGTGAATGGCTGCAAACTATATATTGATGGCAAAAATTAGAGTAAGTAGATGCATTTGTAGCATGGTAGA